TTGCACCTTTAAAACCACAGTTACCAGCTGCTTCACAAGTTAGAAGTGAAAAAGCTTTTTAAAGCATTTGCTGTTTTGACTTTTACGACATTAAACTTCTGATTTGTAGTTTTTTATTGTTTAATGGGCAAAACAATGAGTTTAATACAAAATGTCACCTCAGCTCTGTGAAACTTTACAGACTAAACAAGGAATCGATTACTCCAGAGATGAATCAGCAGACGTCTTCCTAATGAAGCCTGAGTGATATTCCCCTCAGTCTTTGGGAACATGAATAACTTTGCCAAACCACAGATGAAAGACAATTTCTGTGGCAGCGGATTTTTCTTTTTTCGAGCGTTTGCTCACGTTTCATGTGATTCTGTTGAGATTCTGTCAGCAGCTCATCACACAAACTATCCAGAGAAAACTCCCCCGAGGATCCTCTGATAGTCTTTACCAACTCTCCAGAATATTCTTGTTTAGACGCCTCAGTTCTCCGGAGAGAGGTGCGTCACACGTCTCTGTTCTCGGGCTTTGGGAGGAAGTTTGGGGGAAAAGTTTCTCATGTTCGGAAGAACTAATTAGACTGAGTCTGTTGGCTCGGCTGCCGAAAAAACTCTGAAAGATAGCACAGCTAAACATCAGCTTTACTTTCTAGAGGATATCAAATTCTACATATACGTTATTCACCTTATGATGATGTGACATGAATCACAGACGTGGAAAAGTTTGTTTCTCCTGGAGACAAAGAACCAAGTGTGTGTGCATGGAAATGAACTCACGAAAACCTTTTTATGCTTTTAGATGTAGACGTGTCTTTGTTTGTGTGAAACCCATCGACCTGTAGTTCAATAATTAACATAGATTAATATGCACTTTCATCTTTTGAACCCTCTCTGTAGCGATCGTGGTCTAAACTCTACACAGTGTCATACTTTTAGAGATTAATAATAGATTATGATATTTAACAAATATACAAAGTGCCTAATATTTAATAGAGAAGCAGATATTTTTGTGATTCGTCACAAAGAGAGGGAGAAGAAACTGTTGGATTTTAAAAACAGTTTGTTGGACTTGAGGTCACACATTTGATTCAGGAGCCAGTATCTTCTCCAGAGCTGCAGCTCAGTCGCCTGTGACGTGAACCTTGTTTTTTCATTACCTCACCCTCATGTTCATGACATCATCCTGCCTGTGATCATTCTCAGTTTATTAATGAGAATATTTCATGTCTGACTCCGTTGTGATCTGTTCTCGCAGCAAAAAGCCAAAGAGGCCTCAGAGACAGAGGCAACAAAACAACCGACTAAAACCTCTGACTCTCGCCTACGACGGGGATACGGACATGTAGCCCCCCTCTCCCTCCCCCCAGGAGACGCTTCCCCCGTCATAGAACTTCATCACGCCACCACAGTGAGGGACATGGATGTTTGCAGCTGGAATGGACATGTCACAGAGCGGAGATCTTACACAAATCCTCTTAACAGAGACACTAGTGAGTTTAACCATTTCAAATAGAGCAGCAATCAGCCCCCCTCCCCCTTTTTCTGTGTGTTTTCTTGACTTTATTTTCTTTCCCATGAGCCTTCACGACCTCCACGAGTTCAACGAAATGCCTTTTTCTGCCCCCGTGCGCGTCCACGTCCACGTCTCGGTAATAAAACGGATTGGCCAGGTGCAGGAGACGGACCCGGCTTTCTGCTGCCATCTCTGAACGCGGCAGCAGCAGCAGCACAACCTCCAGCTCCCCCCCCCACCTCCCCCGTGCTTTTCTGCTTGTCCCTTAAAATGCTGAGTCGCTGGAGGCTTAGGATGCGCTGACGGTTCGTACGTTGCCAAAAGTCACCGCAGGGAGGAGGTGGAGGAGGAGGAGGAGGAGGAAAATCTCCATGAATAGGTTTGGATTCCTTTTTTGCAATCCTCAACTGGGGTTTCACTCAAATCTCTTTTGCAGTCTTGAACAAAAGGGAGGCATTTCGTCCTTTTTCTTTCTGCTTGATTCCGAGGCACACAGGCCTGTGTTCGTGGGATAAACTGATCTGCTCGATGCTGATGGAGGAGAAGCCTGCGATCAGTTGTTGGTGGACACTCCTGCCTGCCTGCCTCCACCCTTTGCTTTGTTTCAGGCACTTACATTGCACTATATTAGTGCAGCATGATATGCACATGTGACTTCTACCGTTTATTGCCATAAAACACTGCCTCTCTCTCAGACAGAACCACAGACAGAGGAACACCAGAACATTCAGAGAAAAAAACCGCGGCAGCAGAGGAAGAAGTTTAGACATGTCACATTCTACAGAACAGGTGTGAATCTCAAGTAAATATATGTATAGATTTTATTTCTCACCACGGATTATTTTTGGTTGTTGTAAAGTACCTTTTGTGGTTTGTAGGTTTCGTCCGGTGTTATCACTGTTTTTCTGCCCAGATGCAATTAAACATTTAAACTACGACGTCAGCAGGCGACTTGTTTTAACCACCTGCTTTAAAAGTTCTTTTTACATGTAAGAATTCAGATTCAATTCAAATTCCTTTTTCTTTTTTTTTCTTTTTTTTTACCCGCAGGAGTGCATCGTGGAAAAGTTTTAACGTGATTAAAGAAAAAGAAACACCAATAAATTATAAATAAATATTTAAAACCATTCATGCAAATGTCATTTCTGCCTTACTGACAATAACTGAATACTAACCGTCCTGTAATAGAGTTTTTAATACTTGAATGGGGCTCAAACATCGTACACTGCAGCATATAGATATATTAAAGGAAAAATGTGCTTTTCTTTTTAAGGAAAAGTATGATTTTTAAAACTTTTTCATGTGGTAGCTGTATCATAGTTCCTCTATTATGTTTCAGCCGTACTACATGAGGTGAAAAATGAATTAAAAAATATCTGTACAAACAGAAAATATACAATATATGAACAATAAGACAGCAGCTTCTGCTGAGTAAAAAAAACTGGTGTGAAGAATGTTTACTTTTTTTTGTTGTGGGATTTTGTAAATAACAGCAGTTTTTTTTATTTTTTTTTGTCGGGGGGGAGAAAATCTGAGTAAGTGTACATTTATTTTGTATCACACAGAAAACGTTTAGTTTGACTATTGCAAAGTGGGTGTATGATATTTGCTGATTGTCGTTATCATGATGCAAGTTGTATGTTGTGAAAAAAAAAGAGACCATGATGAAAAAGACGGCTCGTTTTGTACAGGTTGTTTATATGTTCGGGAAGAATTAAAATAAAAGAGGACCCGGTTGTAAAGTTATTAAGTCTGAAGTCACGTTTTTCATATGTTGACAAGTGAACACAACATCAAGGTGTTTGAGTATAGTTTTAGTTTTGTAATCAAATTCTACGAAAAGAGCAAATCAGTTTGATTTTGGATTCACAGCTAAAATAATTAATTTAATTACTCGTCCAGAAAGATGTTTCATGAGGCCTCTGTGACCTTTGACCTTTAACAAATACGATCTTGGAGATTATTACATTTAGTTCGTTTGGTCTTTAAGACGATTTTCAAGGAAGAATTATAATAATAATGATCAGTTCTTTTACAGGCTGTGATGTTAAGAGTCAGTGCAGCTGACGACCACTAGATGTCACCCTCCGACGACTCTTAAAGAAAAGTTGCATCGAAAAAGTCTATAACGTGAAGCTGCTTCTCTTGCTCTCTCTTCATCCCTCTATCCATCTCTCTCTTCATCCCTCTATCCATCTCTCTCTTCATCTCTCTCTCCATCCCTCCCTCCTTCTCTCCCTCTCTCCATCTCTCTCTTCCTCCCTCACTCCTCTCCCTTCATCCCTCCTTCCTTCTCTCGCTCTCTCCATCCCTCCCTCCTTCTCTTTACCCCTCTCTCTTCATCCCTCCTTCCTTCTCTCTCTCTCTCCATCTCTCTCTTTATCCCTCACGCCTTCTCTTAAACCCTACCTCCTTCTCTCCCTCACTCCATCTCTCCCTTCATCCCTCCCTCTTTCTCCCCTGTCTCTCTCTACCTTCATCCCTCCATCCTTTTCCCCCATCTGCCTCACTCCATCTCTCTTCATCCCTCCATCTCTCCCTCTCTCCATCCCTCCCCCTTCTCTGTCTCTAACTCTCCCCCTTCTCTCTCTCTCTAACTCCCCCCCTTCTCTCCCTCCCTCATATAAAGCATCCCCCCTCTCCTCACTGACTCTCACATCTACAAACTCCTCCGTCCTCGTCGCTGCGTCTGCAAACACCTGACCCCCCTGATAGGAGCTCCCTCCCCCCAGGACTCCCTCTCTCACTCTTCACCTCCCCTCAAGTTGTTGTCGTCTCTCGGCTCAGTCAGGAGGAGATTTCCCTTCTTTCTTTTTTTTTTTTCTTCTTGTTTGATTTTGCAGCTGAGACGATCGAGGACAGTTTGACATGAGGGGACATTCTCCACAAAGAGGCATGAGCCCCACATGTCTGTGGACGGCCGCTGTGCTGCTGTCAATCATCTCTCTGGTGAGTTAAATGTCATTTTGATTTGACCTTCTTCTTCTTCTTCTGCTTCTGCTTCTCCTTCTTCTTCTTCTTCTTCTTCTTCTTCTTCTTTTTGTTCTCGTGTCTTCAGATTTGGGTGACTGATGTTTGCTCTCGTCTAGAAGCAGGAGCGTCCACAGAGTTTTAGTTTGATGATGTGAAAATCTAAAACACAAGTGTAATGTCCTTTTTGCTGCCCCCCCCCCCACTCTCCAGGTAGACTCACCTGTGACAGTAGAGTGTGTTGTGTCACAGCGTCCATCTCAAACCTGTCACCTGACCTTTCTCTCTCTCTGTGCAACACAAATCAAACCCTCCGTCACTCAGACCGGACATTGTCTCACCCCTCCCCCCTGCGTCCTGCGTCTCAAACACAGCGTCTTTGACGGAGCAGCCCCAGCTCATTATGACAAACACAGCAGAATGCTCCGAACTCAACGCCTCGACAGTTTGTGACAACCCAATTCCTTTAATCCTGGCAGAGACAGTAACCCCTCACCCGCAGATAAATCTGTCAACAAAGCAATCAAAGGCGAACAGGAGCCACTCCTCTGCCCGACGAAAATTCCATAAACTTAATCCCCACAAACTTGACTGCCCTTAAAAAGCTCCTGTGGCGTTATCTGTGTTTAATTTGCATAGTGATGGAAAGAAGTCAATTACTATTAATTATTCTCTACAACTTAATACCCATTATCGAATTGAATTCAATGTCTTGAAAACCATAAACTCAATTTCACAGCTGACTAAGCACACTAATCATTTCACCCCCCCCCCCCAACCACCTTTTCCTTCTTTATTTATTTTTCTTAACGAAGCCTCTTCTGAAGGGAAACAAGGATTCTTCGATTGCACAACCAATAACATTAACAAACATGGATTCTCCTCTTGTCACAGCACAGAGACGATCATTACATCCTGTATGTGAGTTGTATGAAAGCATCATGGCGGAGCGAGCGGATCTCACAGCATCACTTGATGGGAGTGTGTGTGTGTGTGTGTGTGTGTGTGTGTTTTTCCAGACCGGGCTGCCAAATTGCTTCGCTATGCTTTAATGGGATGATCATAATTGTTTCGTACTCGGTGCATCCTAAGCTTTCGCCTGCAGCTCTTCAACAGATTGACAGACCCATGGGAACCTCACAAACTTATTTTGGCCGTCTTTGAACCAAGTCGTGTGTGAAATAATATGATTATGCGTTTTTCCTCTGGGTAAGAACTGGTGGCCAAGGTTTTTTTTTTTTTCTCCCTCTCCTCCGACTCCTCCTCCTCCTTCTTCTTCTTCTTCTTCGTCTTCAAACTGCCCCACTCTCTAATATCCCGCAGTCTGTCCACGCTCACTATTTATCCTCCTCAGAAGTCACGGGAATAATCGTGCCCCGGCCGCTCAAAGCGCTGCAGCGGTGATAGAACTCGGCTCCAGCCGCAGCTTCCTGTGATGTCTTGACACACTTTTTGATTTGTCATCATCTCTGACCCCCCTCAGGTGCCACTTTGATATCACTGCGAGAATACAGACCCGAACTCTTAGTGGGTGTCAAATGCCCTTAGTTGATCCATCAGCTCAGCGACTGGGACCTCACGAGGCGAGACAAGATAAATTCACAGTAAATGACTATGACGACAATCATCTCCCCAGAGCTCAGACTCTAAGAGACGCCGTCCACACTGAGGACGTTTCAACTTTCTGTCTGTCACACTGAAGACGATATTTCATTAACCCATCGGAAATCACAAATTAGATTTAAAAAAAAAAAGCTTGGAGCCTCTGTGTCGTGGCCCAAAGGTCACAGGTTTGATCCCATATCGGCCACATGCTCTGGACCCAAGTTTCCTCAGGCTGTAAGCCTCTCTGGGTAAGAGCTTCAGTTTAATACCTCATATTTAAAAACTAAATAAATCCACAGAACCTTTTTAAAAACGTCTGCATTGTTAATTCCTCGACGCTGCAGCTGAAGCTTTCAATCAAGGCAGCAAAGTGGCCGCCTCAGACCTGCTATCAGCCCGGTCCCTTTCTATCCTCGCTCAGTTGTACTACAAGTGTCGCATTCACAAATCCTGCCCACACGGCAGTCACAGCCGCCGCAGCATCCAGCCGAATGAAAAGTGACACACACTTTCATTCTTCCTCGCTGGGTTTTGTGTGCGGCCCACCGAAGAGTCACCCGGCTCCTCCGGTGGTTCTATTAAAGGTGGAATTTGTTGGCTGTTGGCAGGTCCAGGCCCATAGAATATCCTCCGAGCTCCCGAGGGAAGCCGGGTTGTTTATCTTCCTGTTTCAAAGAGCGGACGCCTGCGCCTTATCACAGTCTCGCCAACGAGCAGATAGCATTTAGGTTTGTTCGACTGCCTGCCTGTGTTTGCTGCATCTGGCAATCTGAGAGTCGTTTCCTAAAGGACTCGTGCAGAGCGATGTGTTTGTGTTATCTCGCTGAGGGGATGGTGCCTCATGAACCGAACCTGGGAACAATATTAACACACAGTTACATGAAGTTTGAGGGGAGTGGGAGACTCCTGCATAACAAACTGCAGGTGGAAGACTTTAAGTATCTTAAAATTAATAAACTGAGTTTCAAACTTAAGGTTTTGACCGATTTCACAAACTAGAAAAACATGAACAGGTCGAACGAAAACGTGATTTTTGTTTAGTTTTTGGGGAAAATATATGAATTTCATTAAATCCAAGGATTCAAAATTAGGATCTCTCTGCTTCTGCTGCTTCACGAGACCCTAAACTTAAGTGTGATACTGAATCACTGGAGTCCTCATTAAAAGCTGCTGATGACTAATATGTCTTTTACTTTAATGTTGTATCCTTAAAGCTACTAAAACGTGGTTTTAAATTTAAAGTATTTCATTAAATATTCATCGCTAAATATGCAACAATCAAAGCTAAAGCTCAGGAAATTAAAATCTTTCCTTGTAGATAAACGAGTGAAAACTCATCTAATCTGCTTCACCGTGTGTGAGAGAGAGAATCGACGGAGGAATCAAACATGCGATGTGACTGAAATTGTTCAAACTTTGGCAGAAAATGAAAGATTTAGATTTAGAAAATAAACTTTCAAGGTCAAACTGATGAAATTACACAAAGATCAGCTGCTTCTTTGTTCATGTTTTAGCTCCTCAAATAAGAATTTGATAGTTTAGCTAACAATTCTCAAAAGTTTTAGACGTTCTAATCTCATTTATTTCTGCTGCAAAGGAAAATCTACCGGCAGATGAGTGAAACTATTCCACTGAACATTAGATTCATGAGGGATCACGCTGATGCTAATCTCTATCTGTTGTTAACTGTTGTTCTCTCCGTCACTAACCTGCTGAAGACTAATATTTACATTTTGCCGACAGTGAAGATGAGGTGTCGTCTTTTCTTCTTTGTTGGAGCCAGTTACAGGTTTAGACAGCGACTCTAATCAAACACACTTTCAGTCAAAGTCAGTGACAATCTCCTCACTGTGCTAGCTGTGTGTGTGTGTGTGTGTGATGATGATGAAGATGACGTACAAGACGAAGGTGAAGGAGATTATGCAGGTGAAGGAGCAGAATATGACAGAGAAGAGGAGGAAAAAGAAGACGAAGGAAAAGAAGGTGACAGAGAAGATGGAGATGAAGAAGATGATGAAGAACAAGAAGAAGAAAGTGAGGAAGAAAAGGAAGATGATGAAGAAGAAGAGATGCGTGACGAATCATCCTAACTAAATAAAGCATCAGATCAAAATATAAGACTTAACTGATC